CTCAATGGGATTTCACCTGGAATAAATAAAGGTTTTGAATTGAATTGAACGCCAGCTGAATACACTTGATTTTTGTATTCTGATTACGTAACGCCGTTACATGTATTCCGTTACAACCCAACCCTGTGTATATCTCTCCGGACTGTCCACCAGCAGACGAAAAACACCCACCTATCCGCCTCTTCCAAGGGAAGAGGGAACCGTGCGGCATAGTTTCCGTTAACATTTATTTTCTTCTGACAGCCCAGCAGCAGGAGAGGTGGGGAGAGGGAGACATGGGGAGAGGGAGGCGGGCTATTTCATCGTTATCAGAAAATTATCGTATAAATCGCTGCTAGATGAGGGCAGTGGGGGCTCTTCTTGGAGTCTGGTTTTTTCAAAAAACTAAAGTTCATTTGTGAACTTTGAGCCATCATTTATTTTTGCAGGCAGCTCTCTGCCTCTCTCACGTTATTATGGCGCGCGCCGGAACCAACAATCAGTTTTTACCTTAAATGAGTTCGATTCAGAGGACAAAACACATACAACATTAATTAAACTCGATATTTGTTCACTTGAATTTCACTTTGAATTCTTGGATATTCTCAATGGGTTAATACATTTTTTTATAATAATAATAAAATAATAAAACAAATTTTTTTTTAATTTAATTTAAAATGACACCGAAGCTTTGTCAGGGTGGGCCAATGAGTAAACTGGGTGGGCCCGGGCCCAACCTGGCCCTATGGTGGCTACGCCACTGACTCTTGTTTATTAATAACAACTTTTTTTTACTGTCATATAGTATTTTATACCTGTTTACTTTATTCTCTTGTTTTTTTATAACTATAATGATCATATAAAGATGTGCCTTTACCTCACTGGTTGTAGAAAAAGCTTCTTATATTCGTTAGCATAGCTAGCTAACCAGATGCTAATAACAACAAAGTTATTGACTGTATGATCAGTATGACAGATGAACAGATCGCCACTGGGATTACAACTAAAGACACAGCCACGCAAAAAATGCGGCGTGTGTGCGGCTCCTTATGGGTAGGCCTACTGACATTTTTGGAAGTGCCAGAGTGGCGTTCTGTGCTCTCCGGCAGAAATGCACCCCTGTCAGACGAGACATCTATACCACGTGATGACACGTTAGGCTCGTGTTGTGTTCAAGGACCCTGACCTTGGCCAGAAAAAAAAGGCACACGCATGTTTAATTTTTTTACGGTCTAGATTTCTTTAATTCTTTTCTTTTTTGCGTGTGTTTATAAATTACCTCGAGGGCCGTACCAAATTGTCTCGTGGGCCGAATACGGCCCGGGGGCCGATGGTTCCCCTCCCCTGATATAGTGCTAACAACATGTATACCGTTAGCAGCCTGGCTAATGTTACTGTCAAAGGCAATTAAACAAATACAAATAACGGTGTTAAAATGAGGCAGAATAAAACACCTGGTAGTGTTAATAAGTATGGGGGTTCTTTGCCTCCTCCAGCAACTGGACTCTTTAGCCGTGTAGAGGTTTCACATTTCTCTTCTCTTTTTTTGCGCTATACAGGAAGCTACTGTAGATTTGTGTCGAATTGCCAGTTAGCCAAAATGCTATTTTTTTTTTTAAGGAATTTTTAATCCTAGAATTATTTTATATTACCTCAAAATAATATAATTTGACATGCAAATCAGTGGAGTCCCCCTTGAAGCAATCTTTAAACTTTGCTGTTAAAGATAGTTGAGGATGGAGATCTTATTTAGTGCCCCTGCTCCTTTGCTGTTGTGTAGAGTTGGGCTTCACAAATTCTCTGAATGGAGAGGTAAAACCTCGTATCCTGTTGATGGGCCTGAGGAGGAGTGGGAAGTCTTCCATCCAGAAGGTGGTTTTCCATAAAATGTCCCCCAACGAGACCCTGTTCTTGGAGAGCACCAACAAGATCTGTAGAGAGGACGTCTCCAACAGCTCCTTCGTCAGCTTCCAGATCTGGGACTTCCCCGGCCAAATCGACTTCTTTGACCCCTCCTTCGACTATGAAATGATCTTCAGAGGCACCGGGGCGCTCATCTTTGTCATTGACTCACAGGTCAGAGGAAAAACCACTCTAGGCTTAAGACAGGTAGTGCTAATGTGCACAATAACATGATGAGTTATATGGCCACATCCCCTCTCGTCTTTCCCAGTTACAGAGACCACGACATAGACTCCAGGAAATAGTCGTGAGCTTTAAGGGCGCTGGTAGGTGGATTTTTTTTAACTTTCGGATTGAGCCAGGATAGTTTTTTCTTCTCTTTAAAGAATTTATGCTACATAACCTTACAGTAATTAAAGGCTTTGATTTCAAATATGAGAGTGGTATCAATCCTCAAATCAAGGCAAGAAAGCATATCATTCTTATAACTGATACCATTATCAACAAATACCTGGCAGATTGAGCAGTGTTCTGATTTTGATCCCCTTAAAAATAAGAAAAATGTAATAAATTATATCAATTAAATATTAATATCGCGACAAAAAAGGGTGCTTGCCTAATATTACATTAGTTTAGAAAACAATAATAAGAGGTTGCTTTGCTGTCTTTTCTAAATCTTTGCATACAAACGTTTATTTATTTTTATTCCAAAGTGTACAAATACGATCAGGACATTATTGTAATTGAATGTCGTGTTCCTTATCAGCTGCCACTGATACAAAATGTGATACAAGACGCAGTAAGAACATTTGTAGTCTGTGTGGATATTTTTTCTTCGTCCCGATAGGATGACTATGTGGAGGCTCTGAATAGACTGCACCTCACGGTGACCAGGGCCTACGCAGTCAACCCAGACATCAACTTCGAGGTGTTCATTCACAAAGTGGATGGCCTGTCAGACGACCAGAAGATCGATAAGCAGAGGGACATCCACAAACGAGCCAACGATGACCAAGTGGATGCAGGCCTGGAGCGAATACACCTGAGGTGAGCTAACTGTTTTTGGTTTCACAATATTTATGGATTGAATGGATACTGTAATATAACCAGATCTCAAAATGGTATATTGAGTCATAAACGTACTAATCAGATTTGATACAGTTTTGACTTAGAAACCTACATAGGCTAGGTCAGGCTTTAAGTTAAATTAGACTTCAATTGCATGATGTTTCACATTTTAAGATAATACATGAATTCAGATATCTCTTTTAATTTTGTAATACTGTCACGGCAAAACACTATAAAATACTGTGATACAAAGTTTAGATCGTATCGCGCTCCCCTAGATTTCAAAAGGTGATGATTGCAGGAGGATGGAGGGTTTTGAAATCTGTGGAGGATTCGGAGGATCGCGAAAACAACTGAATAAAACACTTTGGAAATTAACGAATAAAACAAAACAAAAACAATTTCAAAAAGAATATACCTTCTATTTTAACAGGATCTATGAAAAGTGAATAATAGGTTTGTGATATAACTATCAACCCCCTCCAACGCTGTATCCAGATCTCTTTATACATCCATGGTCTTTACAGAGGTATGAAAACAAAAATTGCAAAGTTTGTGTTTTAAATGTTTTCTTATTCCAATTTTTCCTCCCTGGTGTCTACAGCTTCTACTTAACCAGTATATACGATCACTCCATATTCGAGGCGTTCAGTAAAGTGGTCCAGAAGCTCATTCCACAGTTGCCCACGCTGGAGAACCTGCTCAACATCTTCATATCTGTGAGTAAACCTGCAGCTCTGGCACTACAGCACAGAAACCAAGCAGTGCTGTTAAATGACCTCAATATGTGTGAAAACTAAGACATCCTTTTAAAAAAATACAGACAGTAGAACACTTCCACTAGCTCTACTGTATACTCAGGTTTGATCAGGCACATTACATGATACAGTTTTGTGTGTCCTCCTGATCTTCAAAATCTCATCACAAGATGGTGGCAATGCATCAGATATATTGGTTGCATTGCAGGAATGCAGACATTGCGTCACATTCCACTACTGATTTTATGATTCTTACTGGAAGTATGTTACTGAATTTTTGCCTGAAATAACAAAGCAAATGCACTAGATCCCTTCACGACTTGCTGCAGGATACCCACAGTTATGTGGGTCTATTGTACTTCACTAGATATAACTCATACCTCTATAACTGAAAAGTCCATACAGAACCATTCATGTTACTCATGTCGTACTGACACTGAGAACCAGGTGAACATGTGCCTGTATGGTTAAATCATATTTGCATGAGATGCAATACATGCTCTGATTATTACTGTCCATTGTCCCACCCTACTTCATAAATGGACTAACATTTTTACAAACTTCTGCTGATGTTATTCATGACAAAAAAAGGCCTTGCATTGTTTAGGTTACATCAAGTGTCATACATACAGATGTAGCACTTCATTTCAGACTCCAGCTTACAGCTTCCTGCCTACCACCTGCCTAAGACCAGTATAGAGGAATGTTAAGCCCTCCCACTATTTTCCAAGAGGGCGTTGCCAGATTTTCAATTTCAGGTTTTAACCAGGAGGTGGCGCTTCATTCACAAATACAGAAAGACAAGTTTCATGGACTTTCAGTTGTGTTTTGAGGAGCATTTGAACACATCAATATTTTAGATACTATACTAAAGTATATCTAATCTTGTAATTCAATAACATATAGTCTTTATATATTAAATAATCATAATAATAATAATGTAAATGTTTACATTACACTTCTTTATTTGTTATGCTCATACTTTTACCTTTACAATCGTTTGCTTTAATATGCAGTATATTTGTTGTATATTTTTGTGTTTGCTTCCTCCTGCTCCCTTTCGGACACATTGTATGATTTATTATTATTATTATTAATATGAAGATATTATTAAGATAAGATAAGATGTTACTTTATTGATTGAACATTTTAGTTTAAAATGTGCTGTCCCACGGTAATTCAGAAGGCTCACAGGTCACATTCCGACCATTATTTAAAACAATAGGTGCTTTCACACCGTCTACAGTTTGATTTGTATAGAGGGAGCTCTGTGGCTGAATGGCCAGCGATTAGGTGTGGCGCATTTA